CGTATAAAGGGTGAACCTTGATTCGTTGCTTCGAAGAACCCATTTCCAGTGATCTACGGTCCAATTTTGATGTGCTTTGCACCACATTAACCGAGCAGCACGGTTGGACTTTGTGATTAAAGGCTGATGGGCAGCAGCACGACCATGAAAACCAAGCAGTTGTGCTTCCTTGCGGATGGTATTCACTGAAAAAATACTCCCGGATGCCTGTTGAAACTCCTCGCGGATGAGGGCTATCGGTTGGGTTCGGTTCTTCGGAATTTCTGTGGACAGCACTCGTCGGTCTCTATCCCCCAGTTTCGTTGGTCTGCCGACTCGGGGCACATTCCAACAATCACCACTCACCTTCCACTTCTTAATCAATAGGCCACTGTCGATATTGGGTACTTCAGATCGCTAGATATGTCCCTTAAGGATCAGCCACATTTGTGATACCTGATAATTATACCTTTCTCAAAATCAGAGAGCTCCGAACTGCGAGGCATCTTGCATGCGACTAAAGCCGATGCTGTTTCTTACACGATATATATCGGCGGAGTCCGTGGCTTACCTTGGGACCTCAGATATCGTCATTTGCATAGGTGTCCAAATACTTATTGGTAGTCAGTGTATTCTGGGATCTTTTTAATACAAGCCTTTTTACTAATAGTAATAGGCTAAGATCAGTGTTTTCAAAATGCAAGCAAGACTTCTCATTAATTTGGTATCAAATACACTAATATGTGTTGCATAATCCCAGTAAACTGTTTTTAAACCTGTTCTGCATTTTTTTAAAAGATTTTAACACCACTATATGCCACTTACCCTCATATTTTCATTAAAAATGAATGAAAGTTTTTTCTTTTAAACAAATTCTGAAATCTTTAAGTCTATTGTCCAGAATAATCTAATATTGGATCATCAACAAAAAAAATTTTTAAGGCAGAAGAGAAACATGCCTCAAATAAATCGTAAAAGTGCAGCAACAACCTGCATTAAGCGTAGATTTTTAGCATAGAAACTCTATCGATTTTGAGGGTGAACAAAGTCTGTCTTCATCAGGAGCATTTTAATTCTTTTTTAAGAATTTTTTCCCTCATTACAAGGTTTGGAAACAAAAAATATAATATTCAAGAAAAGCCAGGTATATCATAAATGTGATTTTTCTCCCAACTAACAGATTCTCATGTATCACTTTCAAACACCTGCTGGGAATTGCACCCTAGCCATGACCATGATGCATCATTGATTGACATTGTCCATAACATCACCACATAAAGAACATTAGGTTTTCTTTTAGTTGTGAAAGTCGTGATGACACTGGTTAGAATTTTTTTTTCCAAAAATCCCGAGACACATTTGTTTGGAATGGGATGCTGCTTATACTGGTTTTCATATGTTAGCATAGCAGTGGGAAATTGAGAAATATTCTGAGGAACTTCAATTCAGCTAGAATAGCAAATTGTGCTCTTACTTTAGCTTTCTAATTTGATCCAGGTTATTTTTATTTTCAGATTTTTATTGCTACAGCTATCTTACCACAATTAAAGTTTGACTTTTTGATTATGCCGAAAAGAGTTTGTAATTCTGAAGCTGCGGGATCTGCAAAGCACATTTCAATGTTAATAGATCAAAAAGTGGAATTCCTGAATAAAATGGACAAAGCCATTTGTGTTCTCAAAATTATGCAAGGAGTATGTCTTTGGAAGTGAACGTTATACAATGATATTAAAAAAAAAAAAATTGTGGATCTTGACTCTCGCAATGAATAAAAGAGAAATCATTTGTTATAACATGTGTGGTATTGAATGGTTGAGAGGCCTTTGAAGGTCCAGCACTAATGCTTCAAGCGTAAATATTTCATAAGTAAAAGGACTTTAAAAATCTGAGTGCATATATTCAACAGGGTGGTTAACCAAACTTATCTCTAGTTATCCGAAAGTTAAAAATTTCAGGCAAAAAAGCTTCAGCTGATACATAAGCACCCGAACAGTTTGAAGGTGAATTCATTGAACTCGTAAATCGCAAAAACGTGTCTCCAAAACAAATTTATTATGATCATGTAACTGGTCTTTTTAGGGAATTTATGCCGCAAAATAATTTAACATCATCTGCAGAAGAGCCCCAACTCTTACCAAAGATTCCAAATTGAGACTGATAAGCTTGGCATGTGCAAATGCTGCAAAATGTAAACTTTTTTAAATTCAAAAAGGTAAATGACCTTGGACATTTAAAGAAGTAAAGATTTTCCGCATCATCTATCATTAAACAAAAGAGCATGAATGACACAAAAAATAAATAATTAGTTTGAAAACCAATTTTACATTCAAAGCTTACCAACATCTGAAATTAGTTGGTTTACTGGATGATACAAAAATTATGCTGAGTATAAACAAGTTATACTTCACTTAAAGTTCTACTAGAAGGGTAACGTCTCCATGTTGGCCTTTACTCCAAACTCTCCATCCATCATTCAACCAATGGTTATCGCATTATCATGTGTGCTGAAATGAGGATATTTTAGCCTTCTTGAAATTTATGTTAATTTTCCTGAACAATGGCAAGACCATTCAAAATTTTTAATATATCTTAACATAGAAATTGTGTGGAGCACTACCAAGTCATGAGAGGATGTGTTTGCAGGTATTTAAAAAATGTTTGACAAAATTGATGGTCAGCTACCATATTTCATGGTGATGATGATAGCTGAGAATTTGGAGACCTTCAGATATCACATGCGAAAGGAAAAATTTTCAAATTAAGGGAATTGTGAAGAAATCTGGAGAAAAAATAAATGAAGATGATATAACAGAAATTCTCCATTGCAATGACAGTGTCTCAGTCATCACTCAACTAACAGCAGCTAAATTTGATATGATGCATGATTTTAAATGCATATACACTACAAAGTCCATAATTTGTACTTGCCGGGACTTCAGCGATTCTGGATTAGGGTTTTTCCGGATTATAGATCATCAATTTAAATCTGGTAAGATGGCATGCAGAAATGATACAATTAAAAGTATGAAATCGTAATTTATGAAATAAAGAACACAATTTACAAAAAAAAAAAAGCTTAATACTTTTTTGTTTACTTAATTAAACATTTCTTTCAATGTAAGTTGTTTAAGATGCTTCCACAAAAAATTCAAAAAGTTCCTTTTTCTTGTGTCATATATAGAGGACTTTCCAATGTCATACTTCTCGCATAATTTTGAGACGGATAGGCCTTTTATCCATTTTTTGCCGTAATTCTACTTTTTGTTTAATGGACATCGAAACATGCTTTCGCTTTGTAGATCCTTTGGCAGCTCCATAATTGGAAACCCTTTTTGACATAATCGAAAGTTCAAGTTTAATTTTTATAAAATTGTTCTAACAGTCTGCAAAAATAATAAGCTGGATTCAATTAGAAGATTAAGGAACAGCGCAATCTGCAACATTAAAATTGAAATGCCTTAGATAATTTTAGCCTAGCTTATATTGTGCATTATACATTAAACGCGCATGCATAAACGCAGCGCATGAAGTTTGTAGCTTTAAGGTCCAGATTATAGATCATTCCAGATTATGGACATCCAGATTACAGACTTTGTACTGTAACATTGTTAGCAGTCATGAAGAAAATGTAAAAGAATTTGTTCAGTTTAGTGGCTTTTTCGACACTTCATTTATAGAAAAAAAATATGCTTTGTTATTTCATTAGCAACTATTCCATATTTTGAATTTTATAATTCTGGAATTAATTGCTGAAATCCCAGTGGGTTAGGATCTGCAACTATGATTCATTTCCAGTTAGTTAGCTTCATTCAGCTCAATGGTAATAAAATCTTGCACTTATAATTACTTTAAAGTGAAAATATTAGAAAAATTTCAGTAACAATTAAAGGTTTCGTATTAAAGTATGTATGGTTATAAGGTATCTCTCCTGCCTTCTTAGCGTGTCTTCGTGGTGTAGTGGTCTGTACACTGGGGGCATACTCCAGAGGTCAGTGGTTCGAGTCCCAGCGAAGGCGTTGCTCATTTTTCATCTGTCCGGCTTCGAAATAGCCTAATGTCTCTACAGTGTCACCCGAACTAAAAGGGTGGTGGATGATGATTCTCCACACCCAGGATTTGGCTATTCGGTCCCCTAAAATCCCAGTCAGCCTTTAAAAGAGGGAGTATATAAGGTATTTATCCCTCTTTCTTAGAGTGCCTTCGTGGTGTAGTGGTCTGCATACTGTGTGTGTATTCCAGAGGTCCGTGGTTCAATTCCCGACGAAGGTATTGCTCATTTTTCATCTCACCTGCTGGCAAAAATACCTGATGTCTCTTCATGGTTTCTTGCAGCTTACTCAGCAAAATGCATATTCTTTCCATATGTTCTTACAGTAATAGTGTGCCTACCTATGCAAGACTGATTCTTTTACATAGTGTGGTATCATTCTTATATTTTGGATATTATACTAGTTTTGTATTTACTATTTCTTATTCATGCATCACTGTGAGTTAATTTTCTTCAGACTTTAATTTAGATATTTTAGTGGTTAGGTGCATCATGGCATTCTGCTAAAAATGAAATCATGCAAACCATGAAAGGTGAAGTGATGTGGAATTTATTATTCAAAATGTGTATCCTTGAAAATGTATGGTTGATCTGTAAGTCTCACCTGGCAAATTAACCTTTGAAATATACTTCTTTAAATGCTTTAAAAAATGTAAAACGTGGTGTGAACTATTTTCCTTGAGATCTAAATGCCAAAATTATTAAAATCGTGTAATGTACTAATTGCAGGACAGATGTTCTAATTAAAGCTACAATGTTGTTATTTATCTTTTGCCTGATAAGGATTTCGAATATTAAGTGTTAGTGTTTAAGCAGTATGTATTTTATTAAATATTTAAATTATTTTTCTTTTTCGACAAACCAACTATTTAAACTTGAGATTCATATTGTTTTGAATATTAATTGTGCTAAATGTTCATTTTTAATCATCACAATATGACATAGTCATCTTAAATTCTATTTGCTTTTTCAGTTAGTTCCAAGTTACAGATTACTTGCAGAGGATAAGAACATTCGTGTTGTAAGTATATTATTTCAAATTTTATTTAAAACTTCTAGTATCTTGTGAAAATGTGAAAGTTCTAATATTTTGAAACTTTGAATTACAGAAATTATGCTATATCTTTTTAGACATATGAAACAAGAGTTTTGCCGGACAGCTATAGTCAAGTCTTAATTTCCCTTTTGTTGCAAAATGCTAGTAAATTTAATGTAAAAGAACTAGAATTTAATTTCATAGAAACTGTTGATGTGAAAATGATTAAACAGGTTTGTAGTATTTTCTCATATATTTTTTATATTAAGGCGTAAAACATTAAATTTTGAATATTTAACTCAGGCTTTCTTTTTAACATTTAAATAAATATGTTGCTTTGTGTGTAACAGTAAGTTTTAGGCATTATGCTTAAAAGTTCAGTACAGTACAAAGTCCATAATCCGGACTCGTTGGGACTTCGGCGATTCCGTATTAGGGGTTTTTCCAGATTATAGATCATCAATTTAAATCTGGTAAGATGGCATGCGGAAATTATGCAATTAAAAATATGAAACCGCAATTTATGAAGTAAAGAGCAATTATCTAAAGGGTATCAAAAGTTACACAAAAAAAAAAGATTAATATTTATTTGTTTACTTTAGTAAACATTTCTTTCAATATAAGTTGTTTAAGTTGCTTTGTTTTTTGTGATAATACTTTCTCTTTAATTCTATAAACAGACATAATTTCTTGTTCAGTTAGAAAGTTCCACTGTTCAAGTCCTGTAAATGCTGTGTCGGGAATACCAACTTGTCAATCGAAATTTTTTTCGTTTTCAATAACGTTCTGTGTTACTTTCTTCACTATCGGAAGCGCACATGGGTAAACGCTTTACTGGCTTTATGTGCATGCGTAAGTTTGTGGCTTTGAGGTCCGGATTATATCATTCCAGATAATGGACGTCCGGATTACGGACTTTGTACTGTATATTTAATCATCTTAAGTAATGCATATAGTCATAGTGATGAAAGGTAAAATCATCAATGCAAAATTCTTATAAATAATAATATATTTTAATTTTAGACATTAATTTTTAACAGTTAGATAACACTGGGTAACAGCAGTTTTGTTGTCTTAGATCTGCTACTTCTGTTTGAATAACTTTTGTTCTCTGAATCCAAAAGCAACTTCAGATTTTGTCTATCACATCAACTTTTTAAGTTACAGGATACTATCTCTTTGCCTTAAAAGTCCTACGTAATATGCATATTAAAAAAATAAAGGGCAAACTTACCAATTATGCTGTTCATTAAGACTACTTTTATTCATACAAAGGCTATATATAGTTACTTCAAGTTTAATTTTGATCATACAAATAGTAAAGTTTTTACCAAATGGTAAACATACGTAATCAGGTACAATTTTTTGGCTTGTGCCTTTTTCTGGAATGTTTAATGTATGGGTACACATACATTCCATATACGTTATTGGTACTGTGCCTCCATGACCCTGAAATTTTAGTGGAATTGCTCACCCATCACTGACTGCACCATGATTTTCGGAAGTTATTGAGATGGCTATGTAAAAATGAAGTTTGATGCTCATGTTGCAAACAAGCATTTTTAAGCAGTCCAAAAGTTACTGGACAATTTCACTTTAATTCTGTGCTCATATATTTCCAAGAAAATCTTTGACAATGTTTCTAAATGCCAACCAAGTATTATTTTGAAGTTCTGTCATTGTTTTGATGAAATGTTCATCTTTAAGTAGCTGCCGAATCAGTGGACCATCAAACATAGTAAGGTTAAGTAATAAGTTACTTGAAACAGTCAATTGACAAAACTTTAACAAATTGCTTAATGAGACCCAGTTTTATATGCAGAGATGGAAATATAATGTTCTGTCAATAAGTGCCTGATGTAGAATGTTTAGATCATCAGCTTTTTAGGTCAGATCTTGGCAGTCAATTTGACTGCACCATATGTTTCCAACAAGTTCTGCTGTCTCACATACACAAAAAAAAGGGATACTTCATATATCTGCATTGCTGTCCTAGGAAGAAGCAGACCATTTTAACATTAATACAGATTATCCATTGGTGCATGTGATATTGCAACAAACAATCATTCCCTTTGTCTTCATATTCTTCACACAAACAGTGAGACATATTGGGAATGCACCAAATAAATTTCCATTGTGGAGGAGGACACACGTCAAGTTTTGCTTTGAACTGTTGATGAAAATTCGCCATTCAGCTGTGTTTTATGTTGAAATTCCCAACTTTTCCAGTAAACCATATACCTTATGACAGAACACAAATCCATCATTACTTCACAATTATTGCAGAAATGTCTTTTTCTTGATCAAAATTAGGGTACCTTAGCTACTTTTTCAAGCAAGTTCTTTGCATGTAATCATGATACTAATAGTTATGAAGCTTTTTTGGATACTCCTAAATGTCTTGCCAAATTATTCAACTCATGTTGGTCAAATCCCTTATGAATGGAATCATCTTCAGTTTCAAAATCTTCATTTTGGAGGTCAGTTTGATATTCACTGGAATCGTATTATTTTACATTTTTTTCCCTTGTTATATCCTGATGTTTTCACTATGCAAATGTAATAATCACTTGAGTGATCTTTGGGCTTTTGCCAAATCGTAGATATACTAAATGGAAATTTAGAACGTATTCCCTTCATCCACTCTCGACACAGTGCTTGCACTCTTTGTGAAGGGCCCTTGATTTATCTTGATCACCACTTTTCACATTGAAATAGGCAGACAGACTGGGAATTGCAGCTCTTTAAGTTAAAAGGATACCAGCATGTGTGTTTATTTCGTTAGGAAATTTTTTTGTTGTTGTTGTCTTTATTTTTATTCTTTGCATTTTTTAATTATTAGAATGTGGGGATATATGCATCCAGCTGAATGTTTTCTTTCTTTCTTTTTCTTCTTCTTTTTTTTTTTTTTTTTAAGGAGAATGTGGGAAAATGCATCTAGCTGACTATAGCACGTGCAACGTCGGTCGCCAAGCTTCCATGATGGGAAAAACTCAGACCAGTTGTCCTTTTTTATTATTTATCTTAAAACTTAATATAGGACTTTCTAGGTTAATTAAAAAGTAATATTACAGCATTATTACAGAGAGGGAAAAGACATCAGATTTCATGATGCGTGATGCATCTTACTTCACTCAGCATATACTCAGCAGAAAAAAGCTGTCCATTGTCAGGTGTGTCGATTCCTTCATTTTGAATTATTCCACACACAGCAGAATTTTTAAATTGAAATTTAATTACCTACAGATAATTATTGCTTAATTTTCATTTTGTATTTGTAATTTTGTTTTCATGTGTATAGTATTTGTTTTCATGCTTATAGCTATAATTTTTGTATTTTGCATGTTTCATTTATTTCTATTAATGTGATATTCTTTATATTAATACATATTAATAATTAGTACATTACTTACATAACTTCAGAATGTGAAGTCATTATATTAAAATGCTGATTTTATATGCATTTTTTTTTGTAAAAGTAGGCATAACTGCTGAAAATGCTTGGGCCAGTGAAGGCAATCCATTTCAGGGGGTTCGGTTCCGTGGCTGCGCTTCGTTCTCTGCATGCTGGTCCTCAAGGGGTTAAACTTAGTTTTTATGTTTTCTTCAAAGAATAGTACTTTGGCATTGCAACTTGTAGGACACTTTTGTACCAAATACATAAATATATTTTTAAGCTGTTAAATTCAGCAATGGCCATGTTGTCTGAGAAATGGCTCCTTTCAGTCAGATTGTTGTTGTTGACCAATGTATTTTTACTTCTTTTGAGTCTTTATTTGACTTAGCTGTTCAGTATATCTTTGAAACTTCTCAAGAATGCTACATGATGTCACTCATTGTTATTATTGAAATCCTCATGCTAATATTACAGGTTTGTTTGTTAAAACAAGATTTTGCATTTCTGTAGTATTTTAAAGGCAAAAAGATGATCATCTTTCTTATGTCTTCAAACAGTTGAAAAGAAGTGAAATATAAACTTTAAACACATGGACACATTGAAACATCAGCTGCTGAAAAAGGTGGTTACTTTCAAATGTTTGAATTAAGAAGTAATTCCCAGTTAAGGATTTTCATATAGAACAATAAATTAAATCTGCTAACATGGATTCAAATTAGTCTAAATGTGGTAAAGGTTATTGGAGGTTTTATTTTCACATGCATAGAATCCCATATGGAAAATCAGAAACAGATTTTAAAAAATTCCAGAGGTTTATTTTACAGTACTTTTCTTAATTTCCATTAGACCCTGAGAGAAATTTTAAGTACTGAAGCATATGTTAGTTTTTATTTACAAAGATTATAAATTGGAAATGATTTAAATCATTCTTTAGGGTCTCTTAACCAGACCTCACAGTTATGGTTCTTTTCATCATGGTATGTCTGGGGGGAGAACTTGGTAAAAAACTTTTCTTAGAAAATACTTTGTTTCTTTAAAATACTAACCATTTTATGCAGCGTCTTAGAAATAATTGCATACATGAAATTTATTTTATTTATAGTACTTAAGTTGTAGAGTAACATTTATTGCAAAATGTTGTCAAGAAATTATAAGATGTCTTTTTAAATCATTCACTTTCATACACGGTTAAATTATCCACTTTAGTAATCTGGGAGATAAATTAAAGATCTTATCCATCATCAATTTGCTGCCTTATTCCTGATCTTTTTTATATAAGATTTTATAGATAGCTGAAAACAATAACACCTTTTCTATTAAAAATTGGATTGAAAAATATTGATAATCATTAGCTATAACCTGCCTCTGCATTTGCTGAAAAGCATCTGGAACTCTTGATTTGTCATTTTAAGATGACATGATTTTTGTAATCAAATGATCAACTTAAATTATGGTAAAGCACTCAAGTGAGATATGCCTTTGGAGAGGAGTTTTTAGGGGAAACTGGTTTTGTATCTCTTCTATTCATGGAGAAAGCCATGAAAATGCCTAGCTAGGCAGATTGTTTCCCAGAATTCAAACTCAGGTTGAACTACCAGCATTAAGAAGTAGAAAGGTCATACTAAAAGAATAATTCTTATAATTGTACAAAATCATGTGTAATCCTCATTATATTTCTCATTCTGACGCAAAAAATTAGTGAATGGAATTGGGAATTAGAATATCGTATTTGTAGTAATGATTAATGAATATACCATGGTTGTCTTGCTGTCTTCATGATTTTCAGTGATTATTCACATTTATTTTAAATAATATATTTATCATACAATAAAATTACTTTTTTGGGCATTTTTGGAAAGTATATGCAAAATATAAAAGTGTCCTTTTTTGAAGAGCTTCTTTTATTACTTAGTTAAAAAATATCTAGTAGTTTTTGGAAAGTAAGCTGGAGCAGTTTACAAGAACAATATCAGGATGTTCCATGAGAGGGTTATGTAATTCGAAAATATTTTTTATATGGGTTTCATAGAGCAAGTTTCTATTCTTTAAAGTGTGTATTATTTTAGTAAGCTGAGTGAAAAATTTACTTCCTCTATTGAAGTATTGGTAATTAATTTATTCTGAAGTATTCGTTAAAAATGCAAAATCAGTAATTGACAAGATGAGTAACTCTTTTCTTTCCTTTGGGGGAGGGGGGAAGTTCCTCCATAAATATGTAGGGGAAATTTCATCGGTTAATGGACATAGAAAAGTCATTTTAAATTAGTAAATGTGACACCAATATTATCTGTTATTGTTCACGTATTGCTATATAACCTTTGCCCTTTAAATTAATACCTAAAATGTGAGGGGCATTCAGTAAGGTACAAGACTAACTATGATGTAATATTTTTGGAATTCTGAAACACTGTGAGGTTGGTACATCTTCCATCCTGTGTCTATAAATTAGTAACTGGTCATAATCAGTTAATTCTGTGATGCTGTGAAAGGTTAAAAGTCACTTGTATGCATGGAAAACATTTGGTGATTGAGTTCTTCAAGAAAAAGACATAGCACCAACATTCATCAATACATAGTTAGAATATTGATTACCTGTAAATGGCATATTTTCATAGTATTGCTGTGACTTTCCATTGCTATTTCAGACTGTGGATGATTTGAATGATGGCTTTGTGAAAGTTCCATTCCAGCTTCCCCCTTCTACTGTAAATGAAATTCAAGTAATGCTATCAGTGGAGAACATAACACTGGTTCAGACTTTAAGGGGTACGCTTACTTACATAATATTGGTAAGTTTATTCCTTTTTTTAATTAATATAGAATTTATTGCATAATCATGCATTATTTATTGCTAAAAATTCAGTAGCTTGCTTTCATTCAGTTATAAATCTGTGAGGTTCCTTCAAATTATCTATACCAGGGGTGCTTAACTGGCAGTGGGGGGAATTCCAAATTTTGGAGGGAATGCGGTCAACCTTTTACTTATGTGTTAAATATTAAGTTTTAGTTTATGAATATAGAAAACTACTTTTATTCAGTTTTGATATTTATCAACATTTTTCATACTTTTTGTTGCTTAATTTATAAAACATACAAAAGAAATTCTAAGTAAATATGTGCATTTTTCAAGTTTGGAAAGGAGGGGAGGAATGATCTTTCACCCAAGGGTGTGTAGAGAAAAATAGGTTGAGAACCATTGATACTGTGTAATGACATTGTGTGTATGTATCCGCATTGCTTTGTGTCACACTCAATATAAAAACTGTTAAGGCAATTGTGTGTTAATATAATCATGGAGAGGTATGTCTGCAAATTGCTTGCTGTTTTTTAAAGTAAATAAAATTGGGATATATTATAGTTTTTTCTGTCTTACAAACTTGTTCCCATGTACTTATTACCCGTATTCTGTGTAAAAAAGAGGTGTAAATATTGCAGTCCTACTGATTCCTATAATTGCAGTTTTGTATATTGGGCTTTTGTTAAGAAAAAGTATAAATAAATATGGAAAGTTTGTTTTAAAGCGCTAAAATACTGTCATGTAAGCTGAAAGCATTTATTGCAGTAGTGAAAAAGGCGTGAAAATGTAGGCTTATGTTACTAGCATTATGGTAAGTAAACATCAAACAGCTTCCATCATTTAAATTGTTAAGTATTACTGTCAGAAGAGTAGAATTTTGAATCAACCTTAGGTTGTGATTTTGTGTTTCTAAAAGTTTGACGATCAAATACACTCAGGACTTTGGCGGTGCCCGCATATACCTATATAAGGTAGTAAAAATTGTTTTGTAAAATGATTTGAGATATTATAATGTAAAACTTTATGCCAAAATATACATGCTGTAATTTTGCAACTATGTTTAAAGACAAAAACATACTAAACTGTAGAGTAGAGAATTTGATATATTTAATATTTATGTTTTAAAGTTTATGATACTGCTGTTGAAGTTGCATTTTTTTTAACCCTGACATGCAGAGATAGTTACTTCTACAATCTGTGGTGGTTATTATGCTGTGCAAAATCCACAAATGTACTTAATGCTTCAGCAGCCTTACACCAAATTATGTTGGCTTCTTTTACCATAAGCAGATTTAAAATACTCTGAATTGTGTCTCGTATTTTCTATAATTTACTCATGTTAGTCCTCTTCAATCTCTTCAATTGTTTTATCTTCTAATTTATTATTTGAAACTACTTCAGTTGCACTACAACTTATTATAGGCCAAGGCTGTCTCAATAAGCTTCTTGTTGCTATGTTCCTCCAATGATTGATATTTAAAGTCTTGAGATCCACCTCCACGTGATCTGTCCATCTTGTGCGAGGTCTTCCTTTTCTTGGTATTCTCTACACTTGAAAAGAGTCACTCTTTTTAACCAGGTCCAGGTTGTCACATCTAAAAATATGTCCAGTCTGCCTGATATAAGATTTGATGACTTGGACAATATTTAGTTGCATGTTTCTTCTATAGATTTCATTGTTAAACAAAATTCTCCATCTAGTTTTTTCTCTAGTTGGATCATATATTTTTTGAAGTATTTTTCTGTAAAAGATTAGAAGTCTTTATCTGATTTATTTATTGGCCAGCATTCACTACCATACAATATGATGTTCTAATAAGAGTTCTATAAAGATTTATTTTCGCCTTGAAGTTTAATAATTTAGACCAGTGTCTGTGGCTGCAGACTCGAGAAATAAAAGTCTCCACAACTGCCTGTTTACTTCTGTCTATAATGTTGATTTCATCTGCATGTGCTAGTAACTGTATAGATCTCTGAAAAATGGTGCCTGTAGTTATAATTCCAGCATCTCTAATAGCCTTTTCAAGGGCAATATTAAAAAACAACAGTTTGAAGCTTTCCCTTGAAATTTTCAAAATGATTACACTTAGAACCAACAGTGTTGTCAAATTACATAATTGTATCTATAGGGTATAACAGAATTGTTGGTCAGAAATTTAAAGGATGATGGAACATGGCAAAAGTAACAATTATCTTAATACATTGTGTAGTGGAACATGAAATGTGAACTTGAAAATACAGGAAGGGCAGAACTAAAGGTCATTTTAGTCTCTAATATTTATATTCAAGAAATAATGCTTCATATTAATAAGAATTGTTCAGTTTTATGACTGCCAACTGCAGTATATATATTACAGTAACAAGAGACATGTGCTTTGGATGTTTCCCAGCATATACTTTACTTTTGCAGCAGAAGTGTACAGTGTCGTATGTAGCCATACTTTTGCTGCACAGCTGATTATATATTGGAGTAGATTTGGACAGCTGCAGGCAGCGAGGTTTAACTTGTTTGCTAGAATTCAGCTGATGTAACTGCTTTTGGTTATTGTCATACCATCTATGTGCAGCTATCACACAGATGAGTTCAACTGATGAAAGATCTACTGAATGCACCAGAAAGGGAGTATATGGTCTGTTGAGGAAATGTTGGACATTGCCGCTTATTGTCATGTTAGAAAGTGGCTCCATGAAAGTTGCAAGAGTGGTTGGGGGTCAACAAGGCTTGTTGATCAAAGTTCTGGATATCTATTCCAGACATGAGTGGGACCCATATCTAGTGGCATCCCATACCATAATTGTAGATGCTGGGTAAGTATGATGCATATTGCAAAACTCCAACAAGAGGTCCTCATGGTGCTGCCATACACATCATGCTGCCGCACATGAAAGGAATGAAATAAAAAGATTTTAGGCTAATGATTCCTCTTGTTTTATTCATTGGGCCATTATAGCTACATGAAAGGATTAAACTGAAAAGATTTTATGCTAAGAAGTCCTTGTGATTTATTCATTGGACCATTATAGGTGTGTTGGATGCTTTCTTTGTGGTGTTTCAGGTTTAATGGCCAGTAGTGAACATGATTTTGCTAGTGAAATATGTGTTTAAAGTGTTCTTAATTGTTGATTGCAGGCAGTTTCTGTAAAAATTTTGCTTATAGTATTTTTGGAAATCAGCTTACAAGACCTTGTGTTGTAATCCTGATCATTATATGTGGAGCTCCTCTCTCAACTCATATGTTATAGGAAATTCATCAGTTTCATCATTTTCTTAAAGCTTCTGCACCACCCAAATCATATAGTGGTTAAAGGAGCCTACTGTGATATTGAAGGGGGCCGTGTTTTAATCCTGGAGAAGGCATGCTTATAAATGTCCATCCCTTCATACGAGGCAATGGTGATTGCCTATTAGGTACTTCCACAGTAAAATGGCCACCTTTTCTAGCATTAGGAGTGGCCAGTGCTGAATAGGCAAGTGCCTACCATTACGGAAAAAAAAAAGCTTCTGCATTTTTTACTTCTGCTTAAGCATTTATTAAAAGGTTGTTATGCAATTCTTTATTACCTTTCTGATACAAGCATCTTCAGGAGATGCGGCACATAGAAAATTAAAATTGTCTTTGCTAGCTAGCTCATTTGCACTTTCATCTGTAGCTTTTGTGTTATTCTGTGCTTATTTGTAGTGAAACACCCTTTTTTCATTCCAGTAATTCCTTAATCATATATCTGAATTATGAATGTGGTATTTTATGGAAAGAATACAGCTTCAGTATGTTTTAGGAAGAAATTTACATTTTGTGATTTTTCTGTTATCATTCAAGAGAATATCATTATTCAGATCATTATCCCATTTCAAAATCCATCCATTATAAGTTGTTATCACCCATACTTTGGAGTGCAGCTGTAGTTCATTGATAAATTTGCTCTTTTAAAGCATTGTGGACTTTTTCTGCATGCTAAAAGTGAATTTCAATCATATAAAATGATTTGCTGACTATAATAAATGATGAATTCTCAATGCTTTCATGTACAATGGGGGAACTTTTAAAATTAAGTAATAGCATCCAATTGATAACACTGAGTGTTAAAACATTAAAAAGTAACTGCTGTATTTCCAGTTTTAGCTTATATAGATATTTCTGTGTCTTTTTTCTATCCGTAATAGAAACAGGGCCAATTTCCCTAAAAAGAACTTTTAGAAAAGAAGCTAAAATTTGTGTATTTTACTGTAGTTGACTAATTAATTTTATGATATATACATCTTGCATCTTAAAATGCATTTTAAAAGTTGTGTCATACTCCATGTACTTGTTAGTTTGAATGAATGTGTTAAAGTGTTCACCTCAGAATGTTATATGAAGTTAACCTAAATTTGTATTCACGGTACTGCATTTTTCAAAATAACAGTTCTCCCATGTATGTTAGCAAATATTTTTTTCTCTAGTCATTTGAATGTGCATTTCAGTATTTCCAGTACATTCTAAAATATTCAATTTATAGTCGTAATGTAAACTTTTCTTTTTATTTATTTTAAATGAAGGGTGATGCCACATCTACACATGAGAAATTGGATTTTAAGCTTAATTTACCTGTGTCATCTTTCATGGTTGGATCAATGCATAAAAGGTAAGAATCTATTATGCAGAAACCCATTTCAAAAATTATCCTTAGTTATGTGCTGTAAAACTGGATGTGAAAATGCATAGCAAAAGTAAACAAATGTGATTTTCTATTTCAAGAGAAAATGTTCTGTTCAAACTTTGCAGGAAATGCAGCAATAGGGACATTTTTAAAATAAGTTTTTGATATTTTTGTTTATGATTCAAAATGCTAATCTTTATCTGTAGCATTTAACTGCTGAAATTTATTATAAAGTGTAGCAATGGAGCCATTTTATTTTAAGAGAAATGCCATTTGTCAATAAACTGGCCTGCAGACCTCATTATGAGGCTTTTTACATATATATAATTAGGTGACCTCAGAATCCCCCAGCCGAAAGAACAGATATTAGAGTCATTCCTAAGTTTCTATTAATTTTTAATTTAAAATATTAGAAATACAATCATTATCAGTTTCTATAACTTTTTCCCATCTAGAAACTAGATTGTTGATGCCAGTCTGAGAAACTAATTTTTTTAGCACAAATATTGTCCAATATCATTTCACTTTGAATTTTTTTACTAGCTAAAAAATGTTGCATTAATTAAAATAAATGGTATCAGAAGGATCAGTTTCTGGGCTGTAAGATGTATGTAGTACCAATGCGCAGGAAAATTTTTAAATTTTTTTTACTGCATGCTTTGTGAAGAAGGAGTGCATGTGTTATGAAGTAAGTCTCTTTTCTTGTTGACTATTGCAAAGAGCATTATTACATGCATATGACTGAACTGAGCATGTATAGTTAATAGTTCTACCAGATGTTAGGAATTGTTCTCTTCATCTCTAAATTCACAATAAAACTTTTTGCTCATGATGTCAGGCTTTGCTGTGCTTTTTGTTAGAGTGCCACTTGTTGATAAACTCTTTGTGTTTGCATGTGTATGTGTGAGCAAAATATTTTGTATAACATCCAGGTTTCATTGCTTAATAAGAAGAGTGCATATTGCAATTTTTGTGTCTTAATAAAAGTAGGAAATGTTGTTACTAGTGGTGTTTAGCTTTTTCATTGCTTATCAAGCAGTGAAAAAGCTAAATACCACTAGTAACTGAAAATTCTAACTGCTGGTAAGTGACTGAAAATTGTAACTGCTGATAAGCATGATGTTCTTACAATTCCATTCACTGTCTGTTAAAGAATTTTCGTTATTTTTTCAGGCATTCTATAAAAAGAATTTGAAGCATTCTATAAAAAGGAATTCTCTTAAAAATTTCTGAAACCACCTGTGACATGTCCTCCCATTTGCTGCTTTTAGATAAACTACATTGATATTGTTTGTTGTAGTATGCTTTTTTTTCCTGTAGAGTTTCTATAGCATGTACTACCCCCCCTCACATGTGGAGCATTTGTCTTTTTAAAATTTTTTTATTTATAATTTGTATAATTAAGGCAAGCCGCTAAATGCTATGCACTTAAATATTGATGTTTTCTTTTTAATCCAAATAAGAATTTTTCAATAGCCAAAAAAAAATTTTTTTTAGAAAAGGACAGAACTTTTCGAATGGCCTGATATAAAATAATGATCTAATAATATAATATACTAGCTGTACCCGCCCGGCGTTGCCCGTGCATTTAGAAAATGCAGATAAGTGAATAGCGCAGGAATAGTAGTGTAGGACATGTAGACTGTCTCTCTCTCTCTTCCCCCCCCCACACACACAACATTCCCCGTCGATAAAAAGGAACAATATATCCTAACCATGAGCCATCTGTTAAAAAATTAGTTTAAATGAGAACAGACCTCATATTAGCACATGCTAGGAAACCGTAGTCATGTGGTTATAATCATTGGTCTGAAGTATAAAGAAAAGTAAACATAAAAAATTCAAAATCAAAGATAGGAAAGAGTTGAAAGGGAAAGATAGAGAGTACAGTACAGAAAAAATAAAAAGTAACGAAAACATGGATGAAATAAAACATCCTGCTTACAGGAAATTTGGAGTTAAGAACCAATTAAATTTTTAATTTAAGTGTAAGTTAAATTTAGATGACAATGAATTAGAAGAGGAGAGTGTTTGTGTATGTTTGTGGAGCTCGGGCTGGGGTCGCAAGGGCCCCTGACCGATTAATGTCTGTTGGTACGGCAGCACCATTCGGATTATTGCTCATGCTCTCAAGAGAGCACTAAACAATAACATCACTATTTAAAGCATGATAGTCAGAGTTAGTTTGGGAGAGTGGAGAGTGGCAATAATTTTTCGTTAGATTGTCCTTTTCGTTAGAGAGCCTCGGGATAAACTATATTTAATGTTCTTCCATTCGGAGCTAAGATGTGTAGATTATCGGCATTACCAACTCTTGAACAACCCACGTACAGTTGACCATGGGAGAAACACGGCTTACGGAGGTCGAGCCCTACAACTTTGAGAGATTGTCCTTGTGCCTTATTAATGCTCATCGCGAAACTCAAACGAACAGGGAATTGTAGACGCTTAAACTGAAACTGGAGATCGGAAGGGATTATAGGAATTCTTGAAATAAAACACATCTTCGCCTGCAGCATGTCCGGTCATGATGGTGGCTTCTATAATATTTGGCATCAGTTTCTTGATAGAAAGTCTTGTTCCATTGCAAAGTGCAGGCGGATCCAGATTCCTGAGGAGAATTATCGGTGCTCCAACCTTCAAGTCCAATATGTGGGAGGGTACTCCAGGTGGCTCTAATTTGTTGAGAAACTCTGTCGTATAGTTGACAGCCTCGTCAATATTGCATGTCGTGTCTATAGATTTGTAAATATGAAGAGTTCCGGGTAAGTTCTGTAAAAGTTCCTTGTTGATAACACTGACGGCTTCGTTTGTTGGGGCAAGAATTGCTCTTTCGCACAGCCATGCGTGATCAGTGAAGTGGTGAATCACATTCGGAAACACAGCCTCTTTCAGTTCTTCTTCAGTAGTCACAATCCTTCCAATGCCTTGCATCGCTACATATCCATCTTCATTTTCTGAAGTAAGGGCTCCATTTCCTAGTTTCAGTAGATTATCTGCAAACTGCTGGGCAGAGGGATCACCGTTGAGATGAACTCGCATGTTAGTCGATAATCCAAGTGTTTGAATGCCATTCCAGATGTAAGAAGATTTTATGCAGGCCTGCATTTCATCTGCCCTCGTTCCACGCGGAATAACTGGTAGCGTCTGTCGAAAATCGCCTGCCAAAACCATTACGACGCCTCCCATTCTGTCATTGTTCCGTCTGAGGTCTTTCATGGTGACATCTAATGCTTCGAATGCGGCTTTGTGGGACATGGTACACTCGTCCCAAACGATGAGCTTGCAATCCTGTAGAACCTTTGCCTTTCCTGAATTCCTTGGGATGTTACACGTTGGAGTCTCTGTGCTTGTCAGATTTAAGGGTAACTTGAACGCCGAGTGAGCAGTCCTACCACCTGTCAAGAGTGTAGCAGCAATGCCGGATGAAGCGACAGCCAGGGCAATCTCATTTCTGTGCCGCACCTTTGCCAAAATAAGGTTGATAAGAAACGTCTTCCCGGTTCCGCCTGGAGCATCCAAAAAGAATATACCCCTTTGCCTATCAAAAACTGCTCTAGTAATCTTGTCAAAGGCTTCTTTTTGATCTTGGACCAATTTAGGCTCATTCTCCTGTATATAAGCTGCGAGCACATCCATGTTATAACTTCGTTCTCTAATTACTTCACTGGAAATGGCAGAATCGCTGTTTCTGTTAGGTTGGGGAAGTCCAAAGCTTTTCAGGTTCAATCCTCCTAGAGATATTATCTTGTTCTCAATGTAGATTAGGGCTCTGTTAAAGATGTCGTCATTGTAGTCCAGGTCCATATTCTGCTGCTGGATCCTTGCTTGATGCAGTATGTCTTCAGACAGGTTCTCCCTGTGGTTCATCCATAACTGTTCAGGGCCCGACATGGAGCACGTTTGAAGCATTACAGCAAACAGATTACGCATCATCTTGGGTGATCGAGATGCAGCTGCTTCTTCTAACGCCGTGTTCCAGTGTTCGTCATTCTCCAGAAGTCCTTGAAGTTGGCAGGCCTCTTTGAAAGTGTGTTGCAGACTCTTCCTTGAACGGTTCTCAAATCCGTGAATGATGTTGGGCCTCTAACTTCATGTAGTAATAGGCGAAGGTGGAAGCATTCGGAGTTGTTGGGATGGACGGTGTAGACACGGCCAAGAGCATCAGTAGACCGGATTCCTGTTTCTTCTGGAACAATTTGTCCTTGTTTACGGCGGTTCCAACTCTTGTTCCTGCTGTTCCATGTGTAGTACTTTGGAATTTGGTTGTAAAGTAAATTGCGAGCAAAGTTATCTTGGGTGCACAGCTTGAAGAAAGATGTGAGCGTTGTTTCCTGGGGTGCCTGGACCCGTTCAGCAGCATTTTCTTCAGTGAAGTACACTCTCTGGCCATTTTCAAGGTGGACGCTTAGATGAACGACTGTGGGATGACGTTCGTGGATTGGAAAGTTGAGTATTCTCCACACTGCTTCATTGCTGCTAATGTATCTTCCCATCTCATATTGATGAATTTCATTCAGTTCATTGGCTCCACTGGTGACATCAAATACAGCCATGTCGGATCCTTTATTGACATACTTGCATACATACTTTATGGACTTGACAGAATTGCAGTACTCAACGTTGATATGTGCGTTAAAAATTTTGGATAGTAGTGGACAGTAAGGAACAATCCAGGCATTGTCCACCGAAACTTCTGATCCTCGTAGATTGATGCTTGCTGTAAAACCTCCATCTGCAGGGCTTCTACGACGATACAGTGGATATCCGTCTTGTCCCGTCTGCGTCTCTTTCAAGAACTGGCGAGGGTATCGCTTCGTGCAGACTCCATCCTTCATACAAACAGAGCGGGGATTTATGCGTCCACAGGGGCCATGCACCATTTTTTCGTGACCGTGGTAAAGAGGTCTGGGTCTTCTTCTGGATCCGGGATTTCTGCGCTGATGAAATCATTGACCCTATGGACGTGCAAGGTGTCTTTCAGCCAAACCAAGTGGGCTGAGGAAGTCTCTCTTCTGCCACTCTATCGTGTACATGTAACATCGAGTATCACCAAAAATCTTCGCCTTTGTGATAAGACTGATGAGTGCCTTTTGCTTGAGATGAAAGACTCTTGCCAACAAATCATGGCAATCCTGGGGCTTTTGTCCATCGAAAAGTTCTTCTTGTATCTCTTTCCAGTTGGGGTTGCAGGTGAAGGTGATGATGAAAGGTCCGGTCTACCGTAGTTTTCGCACATAGGTCATCGCATCTTGGGTCTTTCGTGCATGTACCTGGGCCCCCCTGTAAAGCTGGACGGTAAAATAACTAACTGTCCCATGTCAGCAACATTTCCATCATTCATACGGCATCCTCAAATGGGATATTGTTCCACTCTCAACGTCTTCTGGTTCAATCGAATGTATCGCAGTCTTTCGGATTCAATCTTGGCATACATGTCCACAATAAACTGATGAAACAGGTCTTTGCTTCGCAGTAAAATGTTGAATGTCGAAGAGCGCATCATGATACTGTAAGCGTAAAAGTCCATTGCAGAAATCTTCTTTGTTTGTGGCATTCCCGTAGTTGGATTTGTTTGGCGTAAATCAAAATGATAACCATCTTCCCCCTGCCAAAAGAGAAGTGGGTACTGTAGTGCATCGTAAGACCTGTGGGTATCGGCAATTCTTCTGATGGTGCCACTCCTTTCTTCTAAAACTATGTCTCTTGCTCCATGCTGTTCTCCAACCATTATTACAGCCACTTCTGATGATGTCGGAGCGTTGAACCGCCTTTCATGCTCACCGCGTGGGGTTTTGTCGGCTAAATAAGGAGTTTTAATTCAGGACTGATATTTTCCATGGCCGATTTGAAGTTTTGGACGTAGGAGTTTTCATGATGAAGCATATCTTGCAACTGAAGTACTATGTCCTCTCTGGTTTTCTGGAACATTCCTACAACGTTTTCTCTGCGCCTGTTCTGTTCGTTGGCAATGAAATAAACTTGCATAATTTGGGCTCTTCATTTGGTAGGGGCTGTAGACTGCCAATGCGATGATAAACTTGACCTGAACTTAAATGTTGGCATGTATCCAGGCTCTCTAATTTCGTTTGTTGTGCCGAAAGAGGTCATTTGGAAACAGGAATTGTAGCGTCTGATATTAGCTTGGAAGTGTTTGTCCTGTGAAGACTGGCCAATGAGGAAAGTGCGTAGGGGCTCAGGAGGATCTATTAACGGTGATAATCGAATTTTTCCTCCACTGCAGCACATACCTGGGGCTTCACCTTTCCATTTCTTCGCCTCACAGTGTTGGCAAGTTTGCGACATTGAGCCGATGAGACACGAAGGATGAGAAGCATAATCAGATGATGGTTCATAATCGAATGCCGCATTTCTAAATGCCTCCAGAACACATTCGAGCATTAGTTGTTGCAGTTGTAACTCTCGCAGTCTTGAGTTTCTTTCTGGGTGTTTTCTTCTCTCTTCTTCTTGATGAATTTCTCTACCTGTTGCTGTCTTGACTCTCTTTCTGGGGTGGTTTCTTCTTCTCTCCTTCTTCGACTTCTTTCTGCGTCCTGTTGCTGTCTTGAGTTTCTTTCTGGGGTGGTTTTCTTCTTCTCTTCTCGACTTCTTTCTGGGTGGTTTTTCTCTCCTTCTTCCACTTCTTTCTGCGTCTGTCTTGTCTTGAGTTTCTTCTGGGGTGGTTTCTTCTTCTCTCCTTCTTCACTTCTTTCTGCGTCCTGTTGTGCTTGAGTTTCTTTCGGGGGTTTCTCTTTCTTCTCTTCTTCTCCTTCTCGTTTCTTCTTCTTTCTTCGACTTCTTTCTGCATCCTGTCGTTGTCTTGATTCTCTTTCTGGGGTGTCTTCTTCTTCTCTCCTCTCTCTTCTTCTTTCTTCTGATCCGTGTTGTCTTGATTTCTTTCTGGGGTGGTTTTCTTCTTCTCTCCTTCTTCGACTTCTTCTGTGTCATGTCGCTGCCTTGATTCTCTTTCTGGGTGGTCTTCTTGTCTCTTCTTCGACTTCTTTTCTCTCTTGTCGATTTTTATTTTCCAAACATTTCTTTTTTTCGAGGTGGCCTGCGGCATATTTCTTCTAAAATCTGAAAAGCAAAAGTTAAGCAACCAACAGAAGAAGAATGATTACAAAACTGAAGAAAACGCTACAATAAAGAAATCAATTGTTATAATCGAACGTTATTTGAAAATAAATAATAGCAACACGATCAGTGAGTCAAAAAACCATGATAATATTAATTAAGAAACAAAAAGTTTATAAAGTGCAATTCTGAAAAAAAAAAAAAAAAAAAGAAATTAATGTGTCATGAAAACAGCAAACTAAAGCTACAAAAAAGAAATGAATTGTAATTAATCGATTTAATGTATCGTCAAAACAGCAAACTAACGCTAGAATAAAGAAATCAATTGTTACAATCGAACGTTATTTGAAAACAAATAATAATATCAGTGAGTCAAAAAAACCGTGATTAATTAATTATAAATAATTTTTTTAAAATTTTTCTAATTCAAAAATCGAAAATCGGGCTTCGAGGTCTGGTGGCCAGCCCCTTTGTGCTTCCGTATAAAAAATTCCAGGTCCCTGCGTGCCATAGATTTGGCTGGAGAGCTCGGTCAGACAGACAGACAGACACATTACACTTGCTTTTATTATTATAGATAATTATTTCGCAATCATTGGAAAAGCAAGTTATATCCAGCTGGTAGGTTTCAATCAAGAGGACAGTAAGACATATTATGAGCTATAGCCAGTATTTTTCAATTCATGTTTTCCAGAAATTTACTGTACCATAAAAAATTGAGAGGTTCCACAAGAAACAATAATAAATAGTCCAAAAAATAATAGGCAATAGAGTTCTTTTATGTAAGGATACCCTGAAATATTTATGTTATTCTAAGGCTGTCACGAAGATAAAAGGATAAAGAAGTCCTGGTACATACATCTCCCTCTGAGATGATTTGGTACTCTATTTCACATTAAGAAGGTAGACATTAAATTTCAGTAAGTTTATTATTTTTGACGTTGTTAAGTTGCCCTGTATTAGGTTTCATAATATAAATAAGACAAACTGTCTTCTCAAGTGTGAGAACTGTACCTTTAGAACTTGGAATTTCATTTACATTTTTGAAATATTTAACTAAAGATATCTTTTATTTCCTCTTTTTATTTCATAAGAGACATGCCATGTAATGTGACTATTAATGTTTTAAGTGTCAGTCCCTGTAGTTGAAAATAGTTTTGAATTAACCCACCAGTTTCAGTTCATTGAAGTAAAGAGCCATCTTTGTAATTACAGGTATTCATGCTATCTAGGCATCCTGTGGTGATCCTTTCAGGGATAATATTTTTATTCCTAGCAAAGGCAGAAAGATCTGTTTCTTCCTTATAAAGACTTTCATAAGTTTTGATCAGTTTAGCTTCTCTGAGTATTTAAGATGCAAGGTTTAGACAACTGCTTTAGAGTGATCATAGTGCTGACAACTAAAATATTGTCTTAACTCCAGCTGTGATTTTTAACTCTCTACATATATACCTAAACAAATTAAGTGTTGAATATGAAATTGGAAGCTATGTAAATGTGTAGAAACTTATTAGCTAAGCTAATCACGTTAATTTTTTTATTGCCGTTTAAGTTCACATTTTTTTTTTTTAAATAGGTAGATCTACATCTAATGGTAATGCATAATTTTTTTAAATAGTTACACACATCTGTTATGTTAGATTGCATTGAAAAAATTCTGGCAATGTACATCTGGCCTTCTAAGAAAGTAATGTGAGAAAATTTTAACTGTATTTGTCCCTCTTTATTTTTCTTTTAATCTCTTAACAGGAACTGGAGTAGATGTACTGTGAAATAGCTAGCATACATGGCTAGAACAAAAATATGGGAAGTGTGTCACAAAAACATTGTTACCTTTTTTTTTTTTTTTTTTTTTTTTACTGGATAACATTTGCCTATTTATACATTAATTTCCATTTCACCTAGTGTTTTTGAAATTTTCCAATGACTGTAATACATATTGTATTATTTTGTATGGTATATATTTTAAGAGACAAGTAAATGTTCGTTTAATGAGAATTACTTTAAATGAACAATTATGCTGTATAATAATGTGCTTCATATCAGAATTGTTTTTGTTAAAAGAAAGTTTAAAATTTTTGCAAGTTCATTTTTTATTGGTACACTTAATAAAGATCTTTATATAGGTTTACAATTCCTAATATGTAGTTAAGCATTAAAGTTTTTCTTTTTCAGGGATACATTTACTGATTTACTGAGTAGTAGTGACCTCTCTGCAACGGATTCAATCACGATTGATGTAGCAGATCTTGATTTTTTGCACATTCTAGCAAAAATTTGTTTCCACTGTCATTTCTCAGGTATTATAGTTTTATATGCTGCTATATTGGTAGAAAAGAGTTTGAGTATGTATGATATTGCTTTATTGAAATTAGCAAAATCTTGTATTAAAAGATCCTTATACATATTAAGTCAAAAGATGTATTGGTCAAAATATTGTGCATTCAATTTGATGAAATAAAATTTTGAGTAAAAATGTACTTATCATTCTACTTGTTCCTACAGTGCAAATCTGTATGTGTATGAGTATACTCTATGTATTGTATATATGTATTAACCCAACTCTTATTTTTTTAACTTTTTTTGTTGTTGAGGCATTTTGCAAGTTATTGATGCCTTATTTCTGCTGTAAATACCTTGGAAGAGTTTCTGTGACTTGATCTCAAACTCTTCTCTTCAACAAACATAGTTTAATTAATTATATTAATCTAGTATATTATTGGATCATTCCTACTTATTTTCTTATTATAATTATTCTAACTTTAAGAAAAAATTGTACATAAGAATTCAGTTAAGTAAATGCTGTAAAATCTCATGTTTGGCAGTTACAAACAATTCTTCCAAAAGTCATAGATGGTGTACATTTGTCAAAATAGCATATTCATTGTTGGCTTATATTATGATAAGCACATGTTGCATATTGGATCATCTTCTTAAGGTGTACTAAAGTTAGAAAGAAAAAATTTTAATATGCAAGTTCTAAGCATTCTGTCTGTTCTTTCAAATCAATAGTATATATTAAAGTCAACATCATGATATAAGAATAAAAATGTTGGCAACCAGTTGAAAGCACATGTGTTTCCTTCTAAACATACAATCTTTGTAATCTAGCAATTACTAAATCATAGAAAATGGTAGATCAACCCCTAAGACAACCCTCTGGGAGCTAGTATGTTTAATTTCAAATTTACCAAATTGCTCCATACAAACTGCTATTATATCAAAACTTAACATGTAATAAAATATATTCATCAATATTTTTAAACAAAGCTTTTGGCATTTTATTTTGTGTACAGCATTGTAATATAAAGCGTGAAATTAAAAGATAATACTGTAGTGCTTGTCTTACTTTACCTCTGGTTACCTGAGAAATGCATCAACTTAGTCTAGCCATAGTGCTATATGAAAAACTATGGCCTGTTTGGTAAAATCTGACCAGAAATGATAATTTCATAATATCACAGTTTAAAACATGTCATAAATGAACTGCCTAATATGTTCTTTGTACTTTCAAAATTTCTGGCACTTTTGAAGGTTTTTGGTGTTTATTTTCAGCAGAAAAATTACAAATCTTTTTTACTGTTGTTACCTATACAAGTGACATTTTGATCTCTTATTACTTACACATTATAGATAGTTTTAGACAATGTTCATATTAGGCAATATTTTTAGTCAGCTTTAATTTTTAGGTAATGTCCATACATGGTTTCAAGTATAGAGAATTATTTATGCAGAGTTCAGACTTTTCCAAACTTATTTCCTATTCAGATCCCACCAATTTGTAATACAAAACCAGCATCTATATTCAAAATTCAGTTCTTATTCTTTTAAATTTTAAATGCATAACCATTTTACAAAACTAATATGCTACATCATACTTTATAATAACTCTTCAGTCCAGATATCTAAGATCTGGTTGATTTTTTAATCAGTAAACGTTTTCTATGACTTTGTTGTTCACCCATCCCCCCCCTTCAGTGTATGGAATTTAGCAGTTTATCCTCTAAGCATTTTTCTTGAGAGTTAAAATGAGAGATTTCTTGAGAATTAAAAAAAGAAAACTTAAAATGTCAGATTTGGAGGTCTTGCATCTGTTTTTGCGCTGTAGCTTCTGCATGTTGTTTTATAGCTAAAACGTTTTCTTTGGATATTTGTCATGTTTCATCTTAAATTTCTTCCTTCGGATCTTAGTATATACAATACAATGTCTAAGAACCAAACTCGTCGGGTCTAGAACAATTTCGGATTTGGGATTTTTCTGAATATTAGGTCATTAGTTTAAATCTAATGAGATGATATGTAGAAACTATAAAATAAAAAATATGAAATATTTGGTTTATGAATGATAAAACATTTATGACCTTAAGGGAATCGAAATTTACAAAAGAAAAAGAGGGGAAAATAAAAGAATAAAAGGCTCGATATTTATTTGTTTATGTTATTAAACATTTCTTTCAGTGTAAATTGTTTAATTTGCCTCATTTTTTTGTGCTAATACTTTCTCTTTAATTCTATAAATGGACATAATTTCTTTTTAAGTTACAAAGTTACATTGTTCAAGTGCTGTAATTGCGATATCAAGAATTCACTAAATTGCCAATCAAATTTTTTTTTTTTTTTCTCAGCAACCTAGCAACCTCTCTGTCACTTTCTTCACTATCTGTAGCAGTATTTTCTGGGCTTGGAATCGTAGTATGGATTTCACTGTCCGTAAGTTAATTGATAATTGGGTCACTGGCATTGCAATAAAAAAAAATTCAGTTATATTACTTCCATTTACTACTATTTCTTCAGAAATTCCATTGCTTGGAAAAATCAGCTCTTTTTTTGCGATATCTGTAACCTACAAATTTGTGTTATCATCTATAAAGCTTATCTAATGTCTGCTATACTCTGTTGGCGATGTATAATAAGACTAGCGACTAAAGACCTGTTGTTCCACTAATTTTCTTTCTTCTGTGACATGCAGAAGAAGTTAAGCCTGAATTATATTAGTTGTTTATTGTACTTACAATTATTTCTTGGTCATGCTTAAGGCTCATCCGCATACTATATAAACTCCGACATATACTTAAGGACCAGCACTAGACATTAAATTTTGCTATCAAGTACCTACCTTAATTCTGAAAATTTTGCCATCCCTTTATTTTATGTCTTGCCATTTGAGAACAGTATGCAGCCACACCATGTGCAAAAAAGGAAGCGAAAAATAAGCTGTTTTCGACTTCGAAACACATACAAATGCAAGACGACAAAAACCACATGGAAAAAAGAAAGCAAAAAATAAGTCTGTTGGGGGCTTCTAAAATTAAGACACAATAACATGCCGAACAAATACTAATTCAGAAGTCAAACAACAAAAATCAGCGTTATATTTTCAAATTTACTGTGTGAGTCATTTCTTAAGCTGCAGTGCGTTGATAGTCATATGGTGTTGAGAGCAGATAAAAATAAATAATGGTTCACTATGTTGGCATCAGTGCTGAAGTGAAATTAAGAATCTGTATTCACCATGTTTTATTATGAAAAAATATCAAATGCATGAGTGCTGAGCCTAAAAAAAATTTTTTTTTTTAAGTTCCTGGTGATTTGGAGGTCCTGATTTTACATGATTTCGGGTATTGGATGTACAGATTTCAGATTTTGTAATCTACGAGGTGCATATAGTGGGTTAATAGTCCTTTGAATTGTTCTAATAAAATTATATTACTTAAAAGTCTTTAATTTCGTCCAATATTTGCAAAATGTCCTTCATTTTGTTTATCTGACAGCCATTCTTTTTCTGTAAATGTTAGTCTCAGTATAAATTGGCATTTTGGATTAATATAAAATTCAAACCAAGTGGTTTGTAACTGTCATGAATTGTTGATGCTGTAGATTAAGAATATTTAAGTCTCATGTCACGAAAGCCTTGGGGTGCCTAATTGGTTGTTTACATTTGCCCAACCTTTTAAAACATGTTAGCAACAATGTTATTATTAAGTAGTTTCTTTGACTTTACAGCCATGCCATTATAAAACATACTATGATAAAAACGTGAACTTCAACTAAGTGAAAGGTTAAACTCCATTATAAATGTCATTTTCCGTGCACTGTTATCATTGAATGTGGAAATTCATATAAAGTAGATAAACAACATAAATAGGGTACTCAAACAAGGGAGATGTTCTGAAAAAAAAATTGATATTAGAACAGTCTAAATCTAGGGAAGCTCGCATATTTATGCTCAGCACTGTCTCTGCCCTTGAGTCACTGATAAGCGCTGCAGATCATTTAGAGCAGAGATGTCAAACTCGTAGCTGTTGACTAAGTTTTCTGCTATCCTCTTTGTGCACCCTGGGAAAATTTCAAAAAATATGTAATTATAATATATTAATAAAAAATTTAATTCCAGTGAGTATCGAGGCATAAACACAATCTTGAAACATGTATAAAAACCTTAAAAATAAAAGCATGAAGCTTTGCATAAGCCATTGTATAGAATGAGAATTCAGATATTGGTGTCACAAATATGGATTAGTGGGAGTGAACTTGGCACCAGAGCCAATTCTGGTGAGCACTGCTCTAAGTTGTAATGGTATCACATACTGTTAATGAGATGTGATTTATATTTTAGCCATGCATACTGAAGTAAATATAATACTTAAGAAGTTGAGAAGAAAACTTATAGCTATGGATGACAAAATTATAAGTTTGGATAGAGAAAAATTGAAATCTGAACTGAAAGTGGAAACCATAGCTATAGAATTGAACTTATGAGAGTCAGCAGTTCAAACTATAAGACAAAATGAAAGCAAAATATGAGCCATGTTGTGTAGTAGTACATCTTTATTAGATTTGAAATTACTTGAATAAAAGACATGTTAGTGCCTGAGATGGAAAAGTGTTTGATGATATGGATTAAAGACTGTTACTCAAGAATTATACTTTTAAATAGTCTTGCCATAAAATAACAAGCACTCAATGTTTACCAATGTTTAAAAAATTCTGGGAGCTTTTCGTGTAATGTATTGCATAAACCTGAGTTTAAAAAACCAGCAGAGGATGGTTTGACAAATTCAAGAAGAGATTTTCTTTGTGTAATATGAGAATTGTGGACAACGTGCATCAGCCAATACAGAAGCAGCTCAAAGATTTTCGACATGTTTTCCAAAATTGTAGTGGAGGGCTATTATACAGCAGAACAAGTCTATAATGCTGATGAATTTGCTCTGTATTTTGGGGGGGGAAATAGCCTGGCAGAACATATGATGCCAAAAATGAGATTTTTGCTTGTGGTTTCAAGGTATCAAAGGACATT